TTTCAGAGTCAAATCCATTCATTTAGCAAGTTTTAAGTGTGATTTGGCCAGATTAAAAAAAACAAAACCAAAACAAACAAAAAAACCCTAAACCAACCCAAAATCCTTCAAAGCACCAGAATTCAGCATCCAAGCCCTAGCACGGAAACTCAGAGCGCAGCCACGAGGCCAGCTTTCATACAGCTCCAAACCAATTTCTGTGAGATGTTATTTTTAATTAACCCGTGGAACAAAAAGAGAACACGATTACTCTGAGGTTCCAGAGCAGTGCGACATTTGTCAAGCACACAAATCGTAACCAGCAAGACCTAAAATTAAAGGAACTGAAGAGGTCAGATAGATTATTTGCCTGAGCGCGCTAACTGTAAGGTTGCCTGCAAACTCTTCGGTCTCATCTTTCCTGGCAGTTCTCATTTAAGCAAACGAGCAGTGGCTGAAGTCAGGCCAGCTCACACGTAATTTCAAGCAGCAAGAGCTCAAAGCTGTGGGTATATTTGATACTTGTGTGGACCACGCATCGGAAGACAATAGATGGGTGCAAGCAATTTTTGTGGAAAATAAACCAAACGTATCAAATGCAGACTTTTTGGCTTATCCAGACTCATATTTCAATAGGAAAGAAAATCCAGACTCTGTAGCTTAATGCGAGAAGATGACCCAATATATACAGCAGTTTGGGAACGTGGGGGTTTTTTGTTTGTTGGTTTTTCAAAAAAATAAGAGCCCAACTGATACAAAATCTGTAGGAATAATTTTGGTTTATCAGCCAGCCTTAAACTGGTTTTGATCAAGCCACAGTTAATACAGATAAGACAGGTAATATGCTTACTTACCACTCTTGGCAAATAGAGAAAATACAGGAAAAACAGAAAGATGTTCAACTGCCTAAACAGTTTTCCAGTTTGCTTTAGAGAGGACATGTTCATTCCAAGACTGCTAACAAGGCAAAGCGAGAACTGGGGACAGACAGATAGATGGATGGACAGATAGATGGATGGATGGATGGACAGACAGATAGATGGATGTCAGCTCTTACATTTGCGTTTCATTAACGGTATCACCTTCACCCCTGCCATCACGCTTGTGTGCTGTGACAAAACCATTTTCTCACTCTCTCTCCCTTTCCTTTCATGACTGAGAAGCCTCGCGCTTTAGAATGCTGAAGTGAAACATATTTTGAGGTTACCTATTTGGAGAGTTACTATAATTTTGAGGATTTAAGATAGCAGAGCGCAACAACCACGCACAACACAGCTGCTCGCAGGGTGAAGTAGTATCCTTGCCTGTAAACACCCCGCACCTCTGTTTACAAGCAAGGTTTTCCTACAATTGGGTAACAGTGCGCTGCTCCTGAAGGATCCTGATGGTTTTGCTCCAGAAGAGAGGACAATTTGCCCTCATAGACCTGTCCGAGGACAGCGGCTCCCACCCCGATAGCCAGTTACGTGACTGTGTCCAGAAAGATCACTTGTGGTCTCTGCCAAACCTTACTGTGAGTACACCAGAAATCATGAATTTAACCAGTACCGCGTACGCAACTGGTTCGTTTTGTATGGTTCAGGAAATAGTACTAGGGAGAAAAACCTTGGGAAATGGTCAGAGCGCGTACTGTGGATGAAGGGAGCTGAATCTGGAGTACGATCAACGCAACGTGATGCAGCAGGCAGCACGATCCAAGAACGGCTCCAGGAGGAAGCCCCAGCCTCAGCTGGAAGCAACTGAGGCTCAAGGCAGTGCAAACGTGGTAGGAAGGAAAGAACAGGGGGGAGACGGAGAACAGAGGAAAGGGAAAGCAGAGCTCGAAAGCACGGCAGGACGTCAGGATTCAACCAGGTTTGACAAGC